TCGGGATGAATTGAAATAAACGAGTTACTTATATTGATATTAAAAATATTTATGAGTGGTAGGCATGAAATATAAAAATTTTAAGTGTGTAGATATATAAATATTATGATATAAAATGGCTGTACATGTTAAAATCCCTCTAAAAAAAATTATTTATTTATTTTATATCCTATTTATTTTAGATAGATTTAATAAGTAAAAAAAAATATTTGCAACGGAGAATATTATGATATATTTTTCATTCCTTTCATAATAACTTCCAAAATTCATATTTTTTTTATTTGTAAAATTTAAAAATATATAGAAGAGTCATTAAATTTTATTTGTTTAAGATGAAATATTAACATATATATTAATATTTTTATAATTTAATAAAGAAATAAAAAAATCTAATTTTTCTTTAGTTTTTTTATTTAAAAATAATTTTTGGGAAAATACTGTTAATTATTCTAAAGAAACGCGGTTTCTTCTTTATTCACGTGCGGAACTTTATTTCTCTGAAGCAGATGCTTCCCATTAATAAAGATTTTTCGGACGAATATAAAATAGTTATTATGTTTTTGCGGTATTTTTATTATAAATCATATTAATATTATAAATAAAGTATATTGAATCTAATTATAATTTAGGAGAAATATTTTTAAATTCATATAATGTTTTAAAAAGCCCAAATTTATTCAAATTAATTATTTTATATTTTATGTGAGAGTTAAGAATTAAATATATTTGATATGCTTATTGAAAACTTTCATTTAAGTAATATAGTTTAAATGATTTTTAATTAATTTTGAGGACAAATTAATGAAAATAGCATAAATTAAAGAAATAAATAATTCAAATTTGATTTAAATTTTGAAAAATATCAATCAAACTCTTTTGCAAAACTCTTATTTTAAAAATTAATTTCTCAATAAATTTGTTTGACTAAAATAAAACTATATAATAAAAATAATATATGGTAGTTTAAAAAATAATATTATAGAAAATACATAGAATATTAAATATAACAAACAACATTAAAGCATAAAGCCTTGATATACCCCTTCAATGGGGTCCGTTACATAAATTTTTTTTCTATTTAGTTCAGTCATAAT